CCCAAGTCAGAGCAATGTTGCGGACTCCTTTTCAAGGGAAGAAGTGCAATCAGCTGGTCAGTTACGAGCGGATAAAGTTGAAGTAGAATCCGTTCTAAGAAGTGCGGCCATTACATGGGGGGGAAGTGCGCGGCCTGAGATGCGATAAAACCCCAATGGAGAAAAAAGGAGTTATGATGCCACTGTGTGAGTTTGGACTCCGCTTGAATATTTCTCAGCAGTGCAGTGAAAGCCGATAGCAAATAAGAGGAGCCTCATGGAACATGATGTGATTTTAATTGCTTGGCTGGAACGTATTTATGTGGTTCATCACGGAAAGGCACTGCTGAGTACTCCTTCAAGGATGAATTTGCTAAAACCAATTTTGAGTTGAAGAGAGTCTTTCATTTGCATGTTTTGCCTCTTCACCTGTTCATTTCATGCTCGCCCGCAGCCATCCAAGTGGATGCAGCAGAAGTTGCACAGAGCATTCAAGTCATGTGGCAGAACATGCATGTCCATGTGGTCTAACATCTTGTGGGGTTTTCGGTCGTTTAGTAGGTGACCAAGTGGTCACAATCTATTCTGACCCACCCGCTCGTGGGCTCGTTTCCCGCCCTGTATGTGCAAGTGCACCCAAAATTATTTTCGACCAATCTGTGTGCAAGTGCACACCCAAGTTCATCCAAAGTAACACAAGTTTCACTGCCGTGCAGTGCCAGACCGCTGCCTAAGTGCGCGGCCTGAGATGCGATAAAACCCCAATGGAGAAAAAAGGAGTTATGATGCCACTGTGTGAGTTTGGACTCCGCTTGAATATTTCTCAGCCGTGCAGTGAAAGCCGATAGCAAATAAGGGAAACTCTTGAAAAGCGTTTTCGAATTTTTGACCTCAGAGACAGTCAGGCTTGAGATTCGAAGTGACTCCTCGAGTGGGAGACAGTGGCTTCAACGATCTCGAGTTGGAAGACTGAAACACTATGACACGAGGTTGCTGTGGATGCAGGCGGAGATCAAACAGAAACTGTGAATCTATGGTCGATTTTCTAGTTTGTGATGAACCAGGGTGTGAAATTACCCATGTTACCGCTGGCCCTTTAATGGATCAAGGGCCCTTGAGCTTTAGGCGAACAAAAGGTTGTGCTCGGCAGCCCGACCAGTTTGATACTGGTAGCGGAGCAGGTCAGTTGTCTGACTCCGGGGTGCTGCTAGGGCGAGTCCAATCAATCTGCGCAAGACCGTTGAAATTGTACCCTTCTGCTGAGCAGACGCATGTGCAGCCAAGCATGTCAGTGGCCGGACTCCGTTATGGAGCCGATGCCAGCACTGCCCGTGGTCCATCGGAAACACGATCAGGTGCTCCGATCTTCCATGGAGATCCTGCGTCATACCATGACTGGGAATTCCGTGTTTCGCTACGTCTGGAGCTGTTGGAGGCCCAGGAACAAGCGCTTCGACTGGCGGTCCAGGCCGAACTGGAAGATGATGCAGAGAGTGGACCAGGATTGGCCACAGGAGTGGAGGACGAGGACGGGAAGGATTTTCCCCCAACGGAGCCTTCTCGTACTTTGTCAACCCCACCTAGGACGAAGAAGAAGAGCTATGATCCAGAGAAAGACATAGCTAAGGAAAGGACCCTCCTTGTATCTAGGATCATGGAAGGCCTTCGAGGCGACGCATTTCTTGGTGTTGCGGCCCTGATCGCCGACAACAGAATCAGGACTCTCATCCAAAAGCTGAAGGAAAGCGTCTTTCCACGAGCTACTGAAGAAGCCCGTGAGTTGTTTCGGTTGGGTCAGCTCCGAGGTGGAATGCTTTCAAGACAAAACACAGGGAGTATGGTCAGCTTTGTCGACCGGCGCCGTCGTTGGTGGCGCATGATTTCCGAGATGGATGCGACCACGCAACTGAGTGAACTCATGAGATGTGAATTGATGATCGAAATGTCAGGAATTACTCAACAAGAGGCTTTGGTTGTGAAGGCAATAATAGCGGGTACCCCTCTAAATTTTGAGAAAGTTGGAAAGACCCTTATCGAACACTACGGATCCGTGCACTTGAAGGGAGGCAGGTCATTGACCTCGACAGCCAGTGCACCACCCAAGGGAATCCCCAAGGGCAAAGGCAAGGGAAAACCTACCTGGAGATCTGGTTACTTTGTCGATGCCCCTGAAACAAATGACTGGTATGATGAGGATGGTTCTTATGGCTATGATTCCCACTATGAGAACTATGCTCCCGATGAATATGTGGGACTGCTCGGAACGACAGATCCTGTGATGGAAGAATCCCAAGACGAATATGAAAAAGTTGAAGAAGTTGAAGAATGGGAAGCCACATGTCTGAATGCAGTCAGTGATTTAGGTGATGACTTGACCGATTATGATTATGCCATGATTGGTGATGCATTGCAACACGAGATGGCTGCTTTGGCCGCCTTTGGGAAGGCCAAAGGGAAAGGTAAATCAATGTCTACCTCTGCATCTGGGTCCTTTTCTACATCCTGCATGTCTTTCTCGAAGTTCTCATCGGCTGCGCACAGCCATGCTTTCAAGTTCAGGAGGAAATCTGGCCACGCTGCCTGCTCGGCATCTACACCGTTTGCCACGAACGGATCCGGCATTCGGACCATCTTTCCAGCATTGGAGAACTTGCTAGTGCCACTTGCAGCTTGCGTCAGCGACGTCGGCTGCGAGGTCGCCTGCATCACTTGCGCTGCTGCTTGCTGCGCTGCAAATTGTTCTTGGGCTTGACGCAATGCTGTTGAAGATTGCGCCACATTGTTTGCTGCCGCGATCAAGGCCGCAGCTAGCTGCTGCGCTTCTGTCTGCGGATCTGTGGCCATCTCACGGACCTCTAAGGCCCGACCAGTGAAACCGCGATGCCTTCCAAAGGCTTTTGCAGAAGCCAGTCACCTGTGGATCTCTAAGATCTCAACTGCAGCAGTCACAGCACTGAAGCTTATTGCTCTGCCCGGAGCGAGAGGATCTAAGCCAACACGGATGCCCTTCGGGTCCGTGTTGGACCGTCAGGGCTCCGCTACCATGCGAACTTTTCTTGACCACAAAACGCCTCGGTACGAGTACTGAGTTCAAGTTCCATTCTACACTTGATCATAGCCTTTAAGGCCATGAAAGTAAACTCTGTGGTTTCCTCAAGAAACTGTTAGCTTCACTCTCTCCAAATGAAACGTGTGTCACGTGGAAAAAGTGTGTGCGGCTATATATATATATATATTTATTTATTGGACCAAAAAGGGGCTGCGGTTTCTTATTGCTAATTTATAAAACCAAAAGTGAAGCTGCACTGCCAGTCGCGCTTTATTAATCATTCCTTTTTCCAACCACGAAGGAATTGGTTGGCGCTTGGTCAAGGCCGGGATTTGGTCACCACGCAAGTTGACTTGCACCAAAAACGTGCATGGATTTTTTCAGGCAAGAAAGTGGAGTCAGGCTGACTTCATCAAGCTTTGGGTCATTGGAAATTTTCTGGAGACCCCCGTGCTGGTGGTCACTGAGCTTAACTTATGAATTAAGGGCCTATTTAGGGAATGGGATTATGAGCAAGGAGTTCAAGTTTAATGACCCCCCTGGTGGGTAGGAGATTAAGGGCTTTGGGTGGTGTGGGTGGGACAAAAGCCAGTCTAAAAATGAAACGGAACCCACCTACCCACCACTTGAAATGATAAACGCCACAAGTGGAATCAAGCTCAACAAGTATTCACCAAAGAAGTTTATGCATTGCAAGTCCCAGTGAAGAAATCACAGAGGTTGGCTGAAACTGGATTTGGCTGTTGTGAGAAAACATTGAACCCTCAAACAACTCAAAGACAGCGCAGAACCCGAATGCAACTGGAGAAAGGCAAAGGGCAGTGCACAAACAGTGCAGAGGCGTAGCGTAAGACAAGCTGTCGAGCGTAGAAACCGCAGCAAGTAATTTTTCGGCCAGGAAGGAAAAATCACTTTTGGTTTTTGTTTGGTTCCAAGAAATAACAAACTATCACAAGTGACAGTCTATTTATTTCTTGGACCAAAAAGGGGCTGCGGTTTCTTATTGCTAATTTATAAAACCAAAAGTGAAGCTGCACTGCCAGTCGCGCTTTATTAATCATTCCTTTTTCCAACCACGAAGGAATTGGTTGGCGCTTGGTCAAGGCCGGGATTTGGTCACCACGCAAGTTGACTTGCACCAAAAACGTGCATGGATTTTTTCAGGCAAGAAAGTGGAGTCAGGCTGACTTCATCAAGCTTTGGGTCATTGGAAATTTTCTGGAGACCCCCGTGCTGGTGGTCACTGAGCTTAACTTATGAATTAAGGGCCTATTTAGAGAATGGGATTATGAGCAAGGAGTTCAAGTTTAATGACCCCCATATTACCCGACGAGAAAACTGGATAAGGCCGTCATGCAATCTTCAACGATGTCTCCCACATCGACAAAAGGAACTCCAGAGTTGATCAGGGCTGCAACTTCCCCTCGCGACGGATCGTCCGCTGGATTCGAAGGGGAAGGGACCCTTGCGAACCAACAGAAGCAAGAGGAGACATCTTCTACCTTGAGGAGCTGTTCGATAAGCCCGGCTATGAGTTTCGACCTGCCACTGGCTGAAATTGCTACATCCCTTGCAGAGTTGTTGTCAACATAAAACACGACCGGGGCACAACTGACGATGTTCCTCCAAAGCACAAAAGAGACAATCAACGCAAGCAATTCGGCTTCGAAAATGATAGTCTGCTTAACGGCCGCGCCCAGCATATTGATCTGGCTCTGAGAGAGGCAAATAGAAAATGCTTGGATCGCTGAACCATCAGGACCATAGATTACTCCACCTAAACCACAAGGCCAGCTCGGACGGTTGGGTTCAAAGCATGCATCAGTGAATATATAAAAGCAACTGGATGAAACACCTGAAATCTTCCGAGGTGGCCCTTCAAGCAATTGGGATTGGAACAACTGCAAAAGCTGACGCAAACGCATATTGATCGAATGGCTGTCGGACGAGAATGCATGATTAGTGATCTCTTTTAGGCAAAGCTTGCCCAATCTTCCAAAGAGCTGGCCATCAGCAAACTGGAGCCTGCCCCTGAGTTTCAACGCCTCGGTTGGAGAAAGCACACCTGATGTCAAAACTTCCAGCACCATCTCATTCAAATCATGCTTTCGTTTTTCAGTGTTTGAAAACTCTACAAAACCCTTTGAGAACCCTGACAAGTCAACCTGAATTCCCAAGGCTCCAAAGATGGAATCAAACGGCATGGCCTTGTCACCCTCTTGTGCAAAACGCCATCCAAGGAGATCAAAAAGAAGCTCAACTGCAGCTCCAGTTCTTTCGGCATCAGTTTCAAAACTGAGGGTAACAAAATCGTCATAGAAGTTTGTCCACATGACTGCCAAACACTTGCACGCGATCCACCAGATCACACGCACGATGCGAAGAAAAGAATATACCGATCTGGAACCTCCAAATGGTACAGCTAACATCTGAAAAACTGCCGGTCCTCTGGACGAGGGGTCAAAGCATGCGATGTAGGAATATTTCAAAGAACTTGGGTGGATGCCCAGCTGTCTATAGGCTGATTTCAGATCGAACGTTTTGCCCAGAACTCGGCTCCCCAAAGATTCCTGCAACAACGCTAACACCATGGAAGCCACGACATCGGTGGAATGTGGCCGAGGAGCTTCAGGGGTCTGGACGGTGGAATTAATATTGGACTTGCTCAAGTCATCAATCAGCCGCACCTTGTTTGTTTGTTTCAAGCCAAAACGTCTGCTGAGAACGCAACCTGAACCAAGTTCACTAAACGGCACTGGCCCTCGCAACCAGCCGGAATCCCGTTCTTCCAGCGTTTTCTGAAAAACGATATTGTCCACTTCACTATCTCCTGACGATCTGACTGACCGGAAAATGGCCTGATTCGAAGATGCAGCCTGTTCAGCAAGCTCGCATGTGGTCAAAAGGGCTGGCTTAAAGACAGGGTCAAACACTCCAGTCTGTGGGACACAACCTGTAAGTTCAGTTCCGAAAGCAAGCTCATCAAAAACGCCAGGGTCAGGATAACCTTCATCCTCCATGATTTCTTTCAACAAAAGGAGTCGTTTTGGACGCAGGATATGTTGCAAATGGGGCGCCAAACTGCGCTTGAACTCTGCTTCTTGTGGTGCCAGATGCCTGGCTCTTGAGGTCCATTTCTTAAACCATTTTGCCCTGAGTTCAGCAAGCTCGAGACTGGACATGGAAAGGTTTTTGGCCACTGCATCTTGCAAAACTTCTGGCAACATGGAACTGAATGATCTCGGATGCCCCTTCTTTGCGGCTTGTTCGACAACATCGTTGCACGTCCAAGGCACACCCCAAACTAACTTGGCAAGCTGTTTATCACCCCCCTTTAACCAAGTTGGGCTTATACGAAGCAATTGGGCCTCGGCTGGGATGGTGTTAACAGAGTTATTAAAACCTGGGGGGACAACCCATGGGGTTTTAATACGAGCCATGAGAGCACAAGGGGGTTTTTGGAGAAGGCCGGCATGGCCTAAGATACTTATGGTATGGTGATGTTCCGACACCAATGGGGGTGTCTTTGAGGCTTTGGGTTGACGGCCTGCGACTGCTCGCATGGCGGCAAAATTTGGATTGGATTGCAGCTCTTCCCATGTTGCGGTTGGTGGTTTCCAACCGTCGTTTGCTAGTGCAAGCGTAAAGGCATCTGCCATGGCTTTTGCTAGTTTCGGTGGGTAAGCTGTTTCCTCAGCTGTAGCAAATCTCTCTGGAGAGACAAGTCCCCAGGGCTTGTGATGGTGCTCCTCACTGACGCCCGGGCATGTCTGGTTTAAATGATGAAAAGCTTCTCTGTTCACTGCCAAGGCAGTCCATTTTGGTCTCTCACTACCGTAGGCGCAGGCTTGGTGAGCAACGAAAGAGAACAAATGTTTGACTCGTTGGAAAAATTTTGTAAGCCAGAACAAAGAGGAACGGGGATTTTCAATAACCACAATCAAATTTCGTTGGTTCGCCTTTTCCACAACTTTGGCAAGGAAACCATAAAGTTTGTTTGCAGCAAGAACCCTCTTTAAATTTGTTCCGGTCAGGTTTGGGAAGCCTTCAGGAAATTTAGGTGATCTTAAAGGGATAGGTCCCGAAACTAAAACTCCTTTTGGCCCTCTGATTTTGATATTTCGTGCAAGGCTGCAAGTGCCACAAGGCGGTGCGGCAAAGATCCCTGCCAGATTGGGTGTGTCCATCCAAGTCATGAACAATGTTTGGCCCGCCTTAGTCGTGAGGTCAGCGAGCATGATCGGTGCAATCGAGCTTAATTTCTTATGATCAACCCCAAAAGCAGAATGCACGCCATTGGCTTTGAGTGCAGCAGTGAATCGACCAGATCCAGCAAATAATTCAATGACTACCGGTCCATCTCGGAAAACTTTGGCCTGCTGCAAGCTTTTGCCAGCTGAAGTCTTATGGGCAAAATTGCGTCGAGGAGAAGCTGGGATGCTTTCGCTGGCGGAACAAGCATTGGCATGGAAAAATTCTTTGTTTGCAACGTTACTCAAAACTGGTTCTGTGGCAGTGCTAAGGTCATCTTCGTGACATGGTGAATTTGGGCACACATCACCTTTGGTCAAAACTGTTGCAAGGCTGTTAATAGAGTCATCTTTGCGACCCTCTCTGTGAATTGATTGCACAACGGTTGGATCTTCGTGGCTGCCATTCGGCTTGCTTGGACCTTTGTCAGGATTGGGACACGAGGCAACTGCTGGACAAATCTCTAAGAGTCATGAATGATCTTTCAAACTGTGGCTTGCAAAGCACTTGGCGCAACAGTGTTTGCCCCTCTTGCAAGAAGCCCCATCGGTAGCATCATTGCAACCTTCGATGTTATACTTGAAGCAAATGTTCGATCCATCCGGTGTCTTACCAACTCCTCCCGCCTGAATGATTTGGTAGGGCACTCGTGGGCCCTTATTGCTGCCCTTTGATTTCCCTTTTCCTTTGGCCACCTTGTTGAACTGTGGAGTCTTCACAGCAGCCTTCGGTTTTGGGGAAGCCGCTGAAGCCGCTGGCTTCTTGTGTTGGGGCATTGGCAGCAGGGTGAAGGATACCATGTACGACTCCAAGGCCTTCATAAGGCACGTGTCCAGAGGCAATGCACCAGCTTGGTCTCGACGAGGCCTCACTCCGTCCTCCAACAGTTTAGCCCATACTGCTTTGTCTGCTGATACAATCTGGGAAACTGTGGTCCTGGCATACCCTTGAGGTGGGTCCCTGTGCATATGAGAGAAGAGCGTCGTCAGGTACTTGCTGTATGATGCATAGGATACCAGGTCTGCAAAGACCAGTCCGATTCCCCTGCGCTCTAAAGATTCTTTCACCTGGAGCGCTGAATGCGCTGCTTCATCTGGGATTTCATTTCGTTCCTTGATGATCAATCTGTCCGAATCGATCTCCACCTGTTTCGCTGGGCTCTTCTGGTGTGTCACTTCATGCATGCGACTAACACAACGTTCAGGAGCAAGGTACTTGATTTCATTGGTAAAATGCATCTGAGCACAGGCATCGAGAAGTGAATGTCCAGGATCAAGTGGCCCTTCAATTAGGAGACCGGTGAGGCTGTTCCTGACATGCTGCATTTTGGATTCACGCTCCGTAGCCGGAACTTTCTTTGAGGCAGCTGCATCCGGTGCGATCACCTGCTCTTTCAAGGACGCCATCACCAATGTATGTGCTTCGAAAAGCAGCCGTTTCAGTGCGGCACTGTCGGCCAATGTGATTGTTGGATTCACATCTTGTCTGACCCACGCATTAAATGAGTCATCTGCAATGTTCTGTCCTGGTTGTCCAAAACTGTATGCGAGCAATCCAAATGAGGTAAGGCCCAAACGCGTCAAATCCTGAAATGCGGCATCTGACAACCTGCACTCCTTGGCCCTTTGTCTGAACTGTGCTTCCGAGTCAAGCAGCGATGCCATGATCGAAGTTCAGATTCCAAATCAAAGCAAAATCAAATGCAAGCAATCAACATGAAAACCTGAAACGAGGAAATAGACAACAACCACACAAACCGCAATGAAATGGAAAAGATATGAGGTGCGAAATTGACACATGAATCCTGTCGCAAGGCAACTGCAAAAGTTTTTTTTGGCTTGAACCCAAACCGAGTCCGAAACAAAAATTTCCTGAGCTGTCCCTGACAACCATTTTTGAATGAACTGAGTTGCTGACACTGTCAATCCAATCTCAGAAACTTGAATCTGCAAATGTTGACCCTGTCAACAACATGTTGTGGACACTGTCTCACAAAATTGGCCTTTGCCAGAAAAAGAAACAAGGAATGATGGCACTGCCACCACCTTTTTACTCCTGCCTGCGCTGGCAGATGACGCAGATGGCATTGCCCTCTGTGGACTTGTCCATGGCCACGAAATTTGGAGTGACCGTTCTTCCACATGCGGTCATCCGTCTGTCAGGGCATCCACCTGAAGGCTCAGACCACGTGAAATGCAAAATGCCCGATTTCCTGTGGGCCACCCATGAGGTCTCGCTATGCAAGACTCGGCCTTCTTGCAGCTTGGGCCTCTTTGGCGGCCCTTCCTCAGCACTGCCTTCGTCTGTCTCTATGCATGAGTCACCACTCTCACTGTCAGACGAATCGCTGCTGTCAATGACGACAACATCTTGCCCTGGGCACTCGTCCAACTCAGTCTTGCATCTTTCCACATTGCCACAGCCAGCTCCAACCATGTCGCTGAGAACCACCTTCTGTCGTTCAGCTGCTTCACTGGACGGTGGCACTGGAGGGAAAGGAAAGAAACGGCTCCTCTCCGCGTCGGGGCAGAAAGCGCCAACCTTGATGGCTTTGATGACTTCGGCGAAGCGCGTCACCGGACCAATTGCAAGGTCACGTGAGTAGACTGCCACCGTCTCGTTCGTGTGAGATTGGTGGCGACCAAGAATCGCTCTGTCCGGCCACGACATTCCGTAGCGGGCTGCCCAAGAGAGGCCTGTCGCTTTCAAAGAATGCGAACTGAGATGGTGGACATCCCGATTGGGGACTTCAATGTCCTCGCCCACCAACCCTCTCAGCAACTTTCCGACCTCGCCTGAAGTCACACTGCGTTTGCACAAGAAAGGCCCCTCGTGACTCGGAGGACATAGCAAGGGTCCAGCAACTGGTCCATTGAAAACCAAGCCAACCTGCTCAAAAACTGATTTTGCCAATGCCGCCCAATTGGAGCCCGTTACACCGTGAGCAGGGCACAAAATTGGCAAAAGCGTAGATTTCTTCGCAGCACTCCTTCCAGTCTTGTGGACGGTTGTGAAAAATTCGACAAACCCGTCTTGCCCGTTATGGTCATGTCTAATGGAATCCAGAAATGCCAAGTCTGACACTCTGCACCGTCCATAAACTGCTGTCAGCAAAAATCCAGCCGCAGCCCTGTCAAAACTGTCAGCTCCAGGGTTTTCCAGTACCAGGTGCAAAGCCTTCACCTGCTGCACCGTCAACGTCTTCGCCTGCTGGAGCTTCCGCTTCGAGGCAAACATGATGTCGCTAAAACCCCTCAGGCGTTTGCTGTTCAAAATTGTATCCATGCATTCAAATCCCATGACAAACTTGGCATACCTCAAAGCTGCAAGCATTGAAGAAGCTGATGTTGCCCCCTCCAGTAGATTTCAATCTGTGGAAGTGCCTCCAAACAAGCTCTTCAGTGAAAAACACAGTTTGGCCTGGGGAAGCCTCCAACGTCTCCCTCAGATATCGCAGGACTGCGTTGGCCGCGCAGATGGACGTGTGATATGACCGCACTCCTATGACAGCTTCCAGAATCTCCAACGCTTCTGCATGGTGGTCAGCAAGTGGACCCAAAGCTGCAATATTACGGCCAACATCACTCGACTGCAAAGAAACCATCAAAATTGATAACCACTTGTTGCATGCACTTGCTCTGAGCTTGCGCTGCTGAGAACTGAAGTCAGAATCTGAAATGCAAGAAATTGCACGGGCATACACTGAACTGTCCTCTCCAAACTGCTTGGAAACAGCCGCTGCCAGTTCCTGCACAGTTGCATCAGGGTTGTCCTCATGCAGCTCGGCGCGTGGAAACCAAGTCATATTAAACGATGGCTGCTGTTGGTCATCACTGAAAATTTCTTTGAAAATGCCCTGTTCCCATGGCATCTTGAAATCATTGACCTGTGCCACGCTGAGAAAAGCATGCCCAAGAAAATTGTTGAATTGCTGCCTCGAGATGGTTGCATCAACATTGTCATTGCTGACAGGTGGCAGCCCTTGTTGCAAAGAACTCTTCAATCCAAAATTTGCAAAATGATCCAAACCACAACCAGCATCAGAATCGGTCCTACCAAAAAGGTTCATGCAGTCTTCAAAATCGTCACCTGCAGATTCTGAGGGTGCTGCGTTGGATGCACCTGCACTGGCTGAGTCATCACCTGCGCTTGCAGATCACATGTCCTGTACGGCGTCAATGTTTTCCTCCTCCACGGCATGCTGGCTTGAAGAGGAACTCGAAGTAGCACCAGCAGTGTCCAAATCCCAGACCCCCCCTTGACCTGGTACCACAGGAAGCAAAAATGCTTGAACTGGTGGTGTTGCCACGGAATATGAGGAAAGACAAATACCGAGCTGATATTCAGTACGTCCCAGCAGGATATCTTTCTGATCTGCCAAAAGCAAAATGCAAGTCACAAGAACTCTTTGGGCTTCAGGCCGAGACAAGTAGGCAAATGTTGTAGCCTGAACTAATCCACAAACTGGCCTCGTGAAAATGCAAAGATCTTGCGGGTCACAGTTGCAGGCACGACCTAGAGAAATGTGCATCAACTGAGCAAAATCCACAGTGTGAAGAAAACTCCTGCACTGAAACCTGAAAACCAGAAACAGATGTAGAAAGTGACAGTGTAAGTCCTGACTGGCAAACCCAGTGAAAGTTTCTGTGAGGCTGCGGTTCGGCCACGTGCAAGGGCGCCCATGCACAAAAGCCCGTCTAAAAATGAAACGGAACCCACCTACCCACCACTTGAAATGATAAACGCCACAAGTGGAATCAAGCTCAACAAGTATTCACCAAAGAAGTTTATGCATTGCAAGTCCCAGTGAAGAAATCACAGAGGTTGGCTGAAACTGGATTTGGCTGTTGTGAGAAAACATTGAACCCTCAAACAACTCAAAGACAGCGCAGAACCCGAATGCAACTGGAGAAAGGCAAAGGGCAGTGCACAAACAGTGCAGAGGCGTAGCGTAAGACAAGCTGTCGAGCGTAGAAACCGCAGCAAGTAATTTTTCGGCCAGGAAGGAAAAATCACTTTTGGTTTTTGTTTGGTTCCAAGAAATAACAAACTATCACAAGTGACAGTCTATTTATTTCTTGGACCAAAAAGGGGCTGCGGTTTCTTATTGCTAATTTATAAAACCAAAAGTGAAGCTGCACTGCCAGTCGCGCTTTATTAATCATTCCTTTTTCCAACCACGAAGGAATTGGTTGGCGCTTGGTCAAGGCCGGGATTTGGTCACCACGCAAGTTGACTTGCACCAAAAACGTGCATGGATTTTTTCAGGCAAGAAAGTGGAGTCAGGCTGACTTCATCAAGCTTTGGGTCATTGGAAATTTTCTGGAGACCCCCGTGCTGGTGGTCACTGAGCTTAACTTATGAATTAAGGGCCTATTTAGGGAATGGGATTATGAGCAAGGAGTTCAAGTTTAATGACCCCCCTGGTGGGTAGGAGATTAAGGGCTTTGGGTGGTGTGGGTGGGACAAAAGCCCGTCTAAAAATGAAACGGAACCCACCTACCCACCACTTGAAATGATAAACGCCACAAGTGGAATCAAGCTCAACAAGTATTCACCAAAGAAGTTTATGCATTGCAAGTCCCAGTGAAGAAATCACAGAGGTTGGCTGAAACTGGATTTGGCTGTTGTGAGAAAACATTGAACCCTCAAACAAGTCAAAGACAGGGCAGAACCCGAATGCAACTGGAGAAAGGCAAAGGGCAGTGCACAAACAGTGCAGAGGCGTAGCGTAAGACAAGCTGTCGAGCGTAGAAACCGCAGCAAGTAATTTTTCGGCCAGGAAGGAAAAATCACTTTTGGTTTTTGTTTGGTTCCAAGAAATAACAAACTATCACAAGTGACAGTCTATTTATTTCTTGGACCAAAAAGGGGCTGCGGTTTCTTATTGCTAATTTATAAAACCAAAAGTGAAGCTGCACTGCCAGTCGCGCTTTATTAATCATTCCTTTTTCCAACCACGAAGGAATTGGTTGGCGCTTGGTCAAGGCCGGGATTTGGTCACCACGCAAGTTGACTTGCACCAAAAACGTGCATGGATTTTTTCAGGCAAGAAAGTGGAGTCAGGCTGACTTCATCAAGCTTTGGGTCATTGGAAATTTTCTGGAGACCCCCGTGCTGGTGGTCACTGAGCTTAACTTATGAATTAAGGGCCTATTTAGGGAATGGGATTATGAGCAAGGAGTTCAAGTTTAATGACCCC